AGCACTGCAGTGTCCAGATTATAGTTCTCTTACTATTGGGACCAACTATAAGGATCAGAGCTCCTTCTAGAAATGGCTGATTCTATGAGTGGGAAACAGCAAGATCATCCTGGAATATGTTTCAGTGCCAGAAATTAACGAAATCTATAACAGCTCCTCCCAAAACAAAAACCAAGCAAACTGTGTGTGATTTTGTCCAGTGAGGGTCTGCTAAAGGGACACAGGAAACAACGGAAAGATGGCCAATGCTGGAACCCTTTGAGCAGCAAAATAATGCAGAATATTGATTTATATTTATATAACCTAAAGAAAAAAATGACTTTTCTCATAAACTTATATTGGTACCTACAGAACTACATGTCACAAATAATATTCAGCAAGTAATTTACTGCATTGATAAATAGAAAGGGAAACAAATTTCTACATCAGGGAAAAATCCAACTTAACTAGGTAGACACTATTCTCAGGTAAGTGAACATAACTTCCCAGTATTTAAGTACGTCATGTGCACAATGATTTCCTTCAGAAAAGTACTGTACGGAAGACTAGGGAAGACTAGGGAGAAAATGGAAAGACAGTACTTTATCCAGATAATCAAGGTCAACCTCAACAGCTTTAAATCATGTCAACACTACATATAATATGATATGACAGAAATGGTATTTTACCTCTTTGATCTTCTGCTCCCAAATCTATCAGTCCAGTCTAATCATGAGAAATGCATTAGAGAGCCAGGTGTGATGGTATATGCTTATAACCTCACTACCTGAGAGGTGGAGGCAGGAGGATGAAGGGATTAAGGTCCTTTTTAGCTACATTTGAATTTGTGGCCAGCCTTGACTACATAAGCTCTTGTCTCAAAAACCAAAACAACAAACAAGGTATTAGAACAATTCCAGGAAAGGGATGGATGCAGAGAGGTTAATCAAGAGGCACTAAATTACTGTTATATAGGAGCAAAAAGATTGGGGATGCCATTGCATCCCCAAATACAGTAAAGTATTTATATAATGATGATGTGGTGCTGGAGAGATGGCTCAGTGGTTAAGAGCACTGACTGCTCTTGCAGAGGACCCAGGTTCCATTTCCAGCACCTACATGGTGGCTAACAAACATCTGTAACTCCAGTTCCAGGGGATCAATCGGACATGTTCTTCTGATGTCTGTGGGCATTGCACAACACAGGTGCACCTACCTACATGCAGGCATTACACTTACAGACAT